TGTTTATTAAAATGTTTTTTTTTCATTCGTAGCATATTTTAATTTTCATTTTCTATACCTGTCTTGATTTTTCACCACGGTGAATAACTTAATTGTAATGAATTTTGATTATCATACCAATTTTATGCAGTGTTTTTATTGATGTATATGTGCGTGAAATTGCAGAGCAGCTCCAAGCTTACTGCTCATCAATTGGAGTGGAGCTCAGCCCTATGTTGAGCGAGGGCCCAACGTTGTTTCAGGCCCTCGCAATGATGCTGGGCTCCGATGCGGAGTCCATACGGACGTTGACCGCGAGTTTCCTGAGAGAGAGCTGGGAATCTCTCAAAGGTTATGACGGCTCGAATCGTGGTCAATCTTACTACAGTGAGTTTTGTTTGTGAAATAGTTTTAAAATTGAATAACAATGCTGTTATTAAAAAAAATTTACTACGGTTTTTATAATAAACTTGATTTTAAAGAAAAATTATTCATTAAATACTATTGCTTTAGTTGATACACTCCGATCGGGCCCGCATTGCCATCTCCACCTGGAAGCAGCGTGCCGTGCGGCCTCGGCACGTGTTGTGTTACACGATGCCGAGCGTCGAATCCGGTCAGTATTTGGGCCAAGCACAGCTTCGGTGTTTGGTCCGGATGGCGCGCTGTTGGAAATGGTTTGTGCTCGTGATTACTACGCACCACTGACGAACGGGCACTGTAAACCAGTAAGATGATTTCTATTAATTTTTGTATAAATTATTGTAACACCAATATTTTTAGAACTGATTTACACTTTTTAATTTAGAGCTTAATTTCGAGTTGTTACTTTTATTTTTCTGTAGTAACAAATACTGATTTCAGTGGGCAGGAGATGCGGTAAGTGGAACAAACCCAGAATGTTCCACTGAGAAGAACGTGCAGGATGCAATTATCGATGAAGGCAGTAAGCTTTTAATTATTATTATTATTTTTTACTAATAGAAATAAACTTTTCTCTGCTACAATTGACACTAAAACAACAAATTCGTTTGCATGAATAACACTCTATTTGTTAAGAATCCAATTATTATAATAAATGAAAATTTCCACTGCTTTCAGCGTTCAATTTGGCTGCTGCTACGCCACTGCCCGATGATGAGGACAGCAGCTGGGTATGTTTATTATAATTCACGTTAACATTGATCATAAATGAATTTAGCTTTCAAATTACATATCAAATTTTAGAAAAAAAATCGATTGTGGAAATACTGAATTTCAGGATGTGGCTGGACCGAGTGGACTGAATGTGACATTCACGATTCCACCGATCCCTGCACCCTCCAAGCTCTCTCCAGTCTTGGAGGAGGTAACTTATTTTACTAAATCTCAAGTTCAAAAAATTTTTGTAATATATGCTATCAGTTCAGGATAAGATTAGCATGGTTATGTATTATTTGCTATCATTACAGGCTGAAAAAAGCACCTCCGTTGATGACCGGACGTTCACAATTAGCGAACCGAAAATTGTGACGTCCGACGCTTCATGCTCAACAGCCACAACTCGCAAATTGATGGGCAATTCGGCTGTTGAAGCTTCTCATATGGTACGTCATTTTAAATGGTTTTCTTTTTCCATCTCGATTCATTCACTGTAAACTCAAACTCAATTGTAACAAAATACATTTTTAATGAATGTTATTTATAGGAAGTAGCAGTCCCAGTACGACGTGAGCGCAAGCGTTCGACCAAGGTCGAACTGATCCCGGATTATCGTAAAAAGCTGTAAGTTTTTCTGTTTTACAATTCGTCGGTTACTTTTTAACATTTAAGATTACCATGCATAGTAGTATGAATGTTACAGGAGAAGTTATGGGTCAAATGTGGACCCACTTCCACCAAGGGACGCTCTTCCATCAAGGAGTCGGTGCCTTACAGAGTATGAGGCACCGAACTTGTCGCACTATCCCGGTTTGGAAAGCGAGTTGCGGGTGCCTGTCGCTCACCCGTACGTCGTTATCAACGGGAAAGTGTGTAAGTTATTTTATCCGCACTTGTAATATTAGCATTATATCATCCAAACTAAGATTAAAAAAAACTTTTTTATCAATCTCTACGCAATTTCAGATTGCAATCTTCCACGGTGTCCGTTGCTTTCATACAATGAACCATTTGCAACGGTCACGGCGTGGAAACAACACGTGGCACACACGGCAGCACACGCCCTTGATGGTATGTGTTCATAATCATTTACTTTTGTCTTCACGAATGAATGTAAATATTTTTAAAGGATACACATAAAAAACCAAAAATAAATTTTTTCGTACACATATACCTAACATTCTATTTCACAGTTACTTTTTTAGGATACTGCCATCGCTGCTGCTGCCATGTCACGCTACCGGCAAATTGCTCTCTGTCGGAAGCGAAGGTATGGGTTTTCCTTATTACTTTAGAAAATTCAATGAAGCCTTTTCAAATAAACTTACAAGCAAGCTTTACAAAATCATATTTCAGGCTTTCATGAAAGCGCACCGAAATGAGCGCTGTCCACGTGCAGAAGCAAGCGTATTAGGCAAGCGCGCACAAGAAGTGGACTATTTGAAAGCCCTCAGTAGGGACGTGTCGCAGTTTTACTTTCCACCAGGTAAAATTTTATTAAATACATAATTTAATAATCTGCATTTATATGTGTGTATATATGTTTTCGACTGTTGGCAATAAAGGCATATTCAAATTATAGACTGCACGTACGACCAAATACGAGAAAAGGCTCATCGAAAGCGTCGAAGGCGTTAAGAAGTTTGCTCGATGAACTTCACAAAATGGTTCAAGCGTCGACAGTGCTGCGTGGAAAACAACAAAAAGTTTATTCTTTTGCTTTGAATATTTTTCATGTTTTGTATTTTTCCTCGTTTATTTGTAAAATATTGTATCTTTAAATTTATATTTACTGTTTATATCTTCTGTTAATTGTATTTTATTATTTTTGTAATCCTTGCTCGATGTAATTCGTCTTCTCTTTGCAATTGTAATTCTTCTTTCTTTCCTCTTATTGTTTTTCTTTATTTGTTGTTTGTAATTAGAGAAGAGCTTCAATTGTTGATGTATTATAGTGCTTTTTAGATGTGGGATTCACAGTATGAAAATGCGTCCGTGCAGTGAGTTGAATTTTTAACTTGTTGGTAGTGAAATAATAGTTTTTGCTTATTTCCTTTTTTTACTGAGTTAAGTAGGTACTTACTTTTGTGAGCATCAGATAGAAATGGTTTGTAAGAAATTTTAGCTAATATTTAAGCAAGTGGAATGTAGGACATTAGTTTTTGAAATATTTTTCAAAAAATAGAATTTTAGGCTTAATCCATCTTAAGATGAAATTCACTCGCAGCTTTTTCCTGTAACTGCTAGATTATTCAAAATTTGTATCATTATGGGTGAAGCTGTATGGATTTCAGTTAGTATTTAGAAAGAATTTAAAAATATTTTTTTAAGAAATAGGCACTTTATTTATGAGAAGATGGTGTTTCAGCATTTCAGAAAAGCATTCTGCGCGAAAAATATCCTGAAAATGAATCGATAAAGGTAATCGAAGAAATGGTTGGTGTTAAATTTTTAGTAGTATTACAATTATGTGAAAAAATATTTATAAATAATGTTATTCAAAATTCAGATGTAGTGTACGCAGCACTCTCTAGTATCCATCATTTCAGCTGCGATTTTTGTTATCTGTAGCATGCAGAAAAATATTTTTAGGAAATGATGGAAGATATAGTCAATGTTACGATAATGATGAATTATGCTCGATTAAGCCTTAAATTTTTCAGTAAAGTACTAAGATTCGTAAGAAGATTGCTGAGGAAATCTGGTAAGGATTGAAATATTAATGTACTTTGTATTTGTGATGAGAGCAACAGGCTCAATATTTGTCAAACAAACGCTGTAAATACGTTCTTTCAGAAGTATCACTCATTTAAATAACGCTCTGTAAAGCATTATTAGAATTTTTTTGCTATCATTGAATTACTGATTGTCGATATTATTTGAATAATGGCATAATCAACTTTTCATAAAAAATTGCTTACCAAGTTTTGAAATATTTTTCAGTAAAAGTACGAAATTGATATGAAATAAATGCGTGTGAATGGATCAATCGACAGTTGAAATATTCATAGTATTCAAGACCGAATCAGATCCACGAACAAACTATAGGAGATGAATAAATGCTTGAGAGAATATACAATTGGCCACTAGAGAAGGGTTAGTCACTGAATCTTAAAATCTGTCGATTGATATAGTTTCATTTTGATAACAAAGTGACTACTTTTGATTAATCAAAATGTTTTAGGATATTGCCACTGATGACGCGACACATTGTGCTGCCGACAGATGGTTCTATCTCATAAGCTAACGTAAGATTTCTTCTTGCTGTCTTCAAAAATTTTGAAATGTTCTTTCAATAGTCTTATGATGAAATTCTAGAAACCAAATTCCAGATTTTGTTGAAAACACACTGGTGCGAGCGTTGTTCACGTGTTCACGTGGTGAAGAAAATGTTTTATG